AGGAAGGCGAAACTACTGCTACTCTCTCAACCGTCAGGCCAAAGAACTTAGGTATGACTAAAGAAGGAAAGAAAAGTAAGTTTGTAATGGCTGAACTGCCGGTATTCCTAACTCTTCCATCGATCTGTGCTTTTCACGAATTTAATGCTCTGGGATGCTTGTCGCAGTTTCCATGCAATAAATCAGGGGTGCTTTTGAAAGGTAGAGCGACAGCAGCCACATGGCAAACATAGAGTTCAGTTTTTTGTTTAATTTCCACAGAATAGTACACATTTACAAACCTCGAAAGGAAACAAAAGCGAGTGATCTCGGCTATGGCTCGAACCAGCGACCTCGTGATGTTATGTTTTACGCTCAACCGATTCAGCAAATGTGATCTGAAGTATTGTGATTGTTTTCTCAAGGAAATTCATGGTTAAGACGAAGATTGCCGTCTCATTGAATCGTATCTGCCCTCTCCGGAGTTCAAAGCCAACCTGTTAAGCATTACTGCGTATAATGATGACCTTGGGCAACTGCATAGACGGACACTGCTTCAGTCTTGGGTTATTTTCTGTCCAGGCTGAGTCTCTGATCTAAAATCGAAACAAGAGAGACACTGTCTGATGTTGGTGCCTTCGTGACTCCAAGTGATAAGATGCCATCAAAACTGATTGACCGAGTTTGTCATGGGAGACATTAAATGCTTGCGTCTCAGGGCGATCATTGACGCAAACATATATTAATCTTTTTTCGTATGGTATAGCACTGCAAGATTGTTTTTGCAATTGTTTCTGTGGTTTTATTAGTCACGATATTGCTTTGGGATCAGCTAAACGATTACATTTGTTTCGTCCGCAGTGGACCAATGCAAATGCGACAGTGGTCCTAAATGAACTTCCTGTCAGCCCCATTTCACATCCATAGTACGGCGATGATCCATTTATGTAGGAAATATTCTTACCTATCATGTATTATACGGACACAATACTATTCACTGTCGAAATGGTCAAGAGAAGCGTGGGACCACCTCGGTCACGTACTCAAAACCTTTTTTCCAAGGCATCATGTCTGGTAGACGATTCACCGGACCACCAGGAGATAACTCCTGGCATAAAAAGATTGACTTCAGTCGTTTAAGTGGCGTCGGACTGATATTTTGACTAAATCGGATGGTTCAAATCTGCCAAAATCATTGTACATTGATAGACTGTAGACGTATGTCACCCATTAAATTTGAGTGATGTTTTCCAAAACTGTTAGTCAGAGCAACGGTGTTACTTTAATGTACCAGCTGACTGTACGGAATGAAGCAATTGCTTCGGTGTTCACAGGATGTGCGTATGTGTGTCAGCTATTGTTCCATACTTGGCTCGATATTCCATAGTTGGAGACACCAGAATTTGTGTTAATTTTGATTCAACAAACATTGCACTTCTTTATTTACCATCGAACTATGGTCTACGCTGATGCTGATGCTGATGCATGTTTCCATTTTCGTCTGTTTGACGTGCGGCCCGAAGCTCAGGATCCTGTAGAAGACGATTTCTAAACATTGGAAATTATGGAATCACATCGCAAAGTTTCAAACTGGTTGTAACTTTGTGATAGCAGTTGCAAAGATTGGAATAAGAGATAACCGATTTAAGTGCATTTTCATTATTGCAGCAGCTTGAGAAGAACGTTTCGTCGCCCTGTAGAAGCTTTTTCTGACCTTAGGCGAAGGCTATTGAGTCTCTATGGCAGTACCATCCGCAAAAGGAGTTGGCGGGATTACGAGACTGGGCACTGCTGGCGCATAAACTTAAGTCGGGGCTAGTATCGAACCAAGTCGCCGAGTCATTGGCTTTAAAATGCAAAATATCTCGATGATAAGTTGCACCGCTTTTCCCAACTTCACGGATAGCGAGAGTTTAAGGAGAGATCAGTTGTTATATTGATTTTCTAGCGAAAGGTGGTGACATTTCTCGCCAAAAACGAGATGCGCGCCAAATAGTTGCTGCTCACAGAAAGCTTATCTTACAACTTGGAAACATGAAACCATAGGTATTCATCTACATCAAATTGAACAATTTTGGATTAAATGTTGGAACTTTCGTTCCTTGTCTGGTAAAGGTAAGTTGGACGATGTCTGCCATACGATCCGTCTATACAAACCCGATGTACAGGCAATCCCGATAGCTCGGTTTCCTGGCAAAAGAATACTTGTCCTACAGGATAGACGGCCATGCGGTGGCAATATCACAGTAGCCTACGCGTGCCAGTATGTGTTCTCATATAATTGATGGTAAACAGTGCGAAAAACTCTCGTACAAGTGACAAACGGAATCTTCATCCATCATGTAAGTATGAAACAGGTGACGCTGAGTGTCACTATCATTTGCCTATTAATCGACAAAAGTGTCGAATGAAAGTAACATAAACGCTTTTCGTTGTTGCTTGTTAACAACTATCAGTGCTTCGTCACGTCATGACATTATAATTGTCACAGGGCACCTCAACGCGACCATGTTATCCGTTTCACATGTACTCGGTCGACAAGCGATTTACAGGTGAATAATAATGACAGTTGTTTGCTAAGCGCTTATTCGATGAGCAGCTTAATCGCCGGAGGAACAA